TTTCCATCTGTAGTGTGAGGCGAGTTAGCGCCGATAGTGGCCACGAACGCTTTGTGTGGCGTGAAGCTGGGGTAAGCTTATGTTCATTAGGAAACCCTGACTAAATGCGCGCTGCCTGGCGATTCGACAAACCTAATGTGCACGCAGTACGGCTCAACTTGTATTTGTACCGCGAACCCCCTGTCTTCTCCTGACCTGTAAACAACTCTGTTTTTATCAGAATAAATTAATTCATTAGTTTTGTATCCCATTCATTTTATACACGAAAATACTGCAGTAATGTTCTTTGTTTCAACATTATTTCTTCATTTTGATAGTATCGGTAATATTTTATTTGTCTTGCATTTTATGTTTACTATTTTCTCCTAATGTATGCGTTAACGATCACGGCTGTAGGCAATAAGTTTTCCCTAACACGAGCCCCTTTATTTTCAGGTTATTCCACGTGGACGCAATTATAATTCAGACACACCTAGCAAACCTAACCCACCATCAGAGTCACTGTAAAATTACTGGACCTACCGTCTATGAAGGAGGATCGAACATCTACGAGGTATCAATAGTGAGTATATCTTCAATTCATTATTTTAAACCCTACACTTGCGACACGCAGACATTTAAGTAATCTGTTAAAATTGTTTCATAAAAATATTTTTTTAAGTTTGGGAAGGTATTAAAAAAAAAACAAAAGTGTACTTAGTTTTGACTAGTTCAAGCTTTTGAGCATCACGTGTCATTTATCTAAACTTCAGCAGACGGAGCACATGTTTGCTCTTTTTTTTTAAAGGAATAAAGTACAAGCGCGCGCGTTCAGTCTACTTCTGTTATTCATCAAGAAAACATGTTCACTGCAAGAAAAGGTATAGCCGAAAAGTTGCATAGAATGCTGGCGACAATATGTTATCGAAATTTATTCCAACAGATGATATTATAAGGCAGGTTTTAAATTATAATTTCAGTAAGATAATTCAGAGGAGCGATCAAAGAATAACCGATGTTATAACAACATGGGTAATGATTATCCTGTAATTAGATGCCATACAGTAGATATCGCCTCTATTACAAGGCTTTTAATCCATAAATGCTTTTATGATTTCGGACTAATAGTACTACCAACCTTAATCCGATACATCTCTCTCTTGTGAAGCAAAAGACCGAATAGTGATAGAAACACTCAAGCAAGTACTTACAAGGTAAAACAACAAAAAGTTATTCAACACGTAAAAATCCAGCTTAACAAATAATCTAGATTATTTTAGCAGGATGATTCTTTTCCCCTCTTTTTTGGAAAACCAAGAACCAGGGGCGTAGGCTGTTTGCTGACCTTGGTCACGCAAAGCATCCAGTTTTCTCAGTAATTAGTTGGTACTTTGTGATAGCTTATTGTCGCTTTATTTATTGTACGGGTTTGAAGTCACATGATGCATTGCAGAAACCTGCTGTTTACCTCACTGTCCTGCCACAAAGATTGAAACTCTTTCGACGTCTCTAAAGGGAATGCTGTCGTTTTCCCCCGAAATTTCCTTCAAACTTCCGTGCAAACTTGGCAAGAAAAAGGAACCACACATGTTTTTTCCAGCTCTGGCGTCAAAGCGTTTTTTTTTTTTTTTTTAATTATATAATACTCCGCCCTAAAGGTATAACTCCCTTCTCAGATCAGGAGCTAGCCGTTTCCCGAGATTTGGAAGTCCTTACCGGAGTCTCCTTCCCATCCATTCTATAACTGCTTAGTCAGGTCATTGAACTGGATTATTTGGAAATATTGGGGCATGCATTTTGCCTTTGTTAATACCCTTAATATAACCTAAGTTTCATCATTAGCAAAAAATTTAAAGATATAAAACACCTGCTGAAAACAACGTAAAGTATATCACATTTCACTCCAGTATTTTGTGTGACTCGCAACACAAACTGTCGTCCTTCGGCAGCACATAAATACACAACGATATTCATAGCGGTACTATTCTTGTTCTTGTTCTTAATTATTAGACGACTTGTAGTTCGAGGTGCTTTCTTCGCATCTGGATTCTTTGAGTATGCATTCCTATTAAACAGATACGTCTTAGATGCATGCTCTCTTAGGTCACCCTCAGTTATGCCCCCATTACGTGCTGGCTTCTTTTCTAAAAAAGATTGGAAAGGTTGCCACACACTAAACGTTTGCAGCCAACGCACCTTTTGATTTTATGCCGACTATCTGTGATAATGTCAGAGAAATTCGAAAAAAGTAGTGCGGGGTTTCTTATTCAATGTTTACAAGATATCGTCCCTCTTGCGGACGTTGGAACGGGACCTTTCTCAATCTTTTATGGCCACTTTATATCGATGCATTAAGTCTCCGTTAACGCATGGCAATAGTGGTTAAAACGGAACCCGCCCTCAAAGAACGTCGGGGTTGTTTTGGCGACCGTCAGTCGCAGTTTGTCTTGTTCGTATTTCAGATTATTGAGATGCTAACAAATTAACTGAGACCGCATTTATAGTTAATGTCACCATCTCCTTTGCCGGTTGGGTTGAAGTCGCTCAGTATTTCTTTTTTAGAAGGTGCGTTAGGTAAATGAAATTCTTTACTTGTGTACAAGCTCTAGGACAGTGTCAAATTGCTTGAGCCTCAAAATAAATTGCTGTAATGTAGGTGGCGAATCACTTAAAATATTTAAGGATACCGGAAATAGCCGCTGGCGGTCCGTTTCAACAACGACTTACAAAACGGTGATCAATTTTGGCAAACCCACGCAACCGAAAATAATTATAAATTTCCATTTTTCTATCTGATTACTCCATTACTCTTGTGAAATTATCTCTAAGCAAATGTGTTAATGTAAAGTTTAAAGCAGGTCAATGTTATTAATAGATAACAAATAATCCGGTACTCTTTTTAGAGCAGTTGAGCCCTTTCCCTGACAGGGTATGAAAACACAGCGCTTGCCAGATGGACGAAACTTGGACTTAGTGCGACGCCTATAACGGTCCTCATCTCGTATCCTAAACTGAATGCTACTAACTCCTGCTGAAACACGGAAGAAACATTTTCTTGATATGTATAGCAGATCAGAAACAGCGCAGTCAAAACAAGTAAAGCTGATAGTTATTTCAACTGTTAGTTGACATGCAACTCCAACTACCAAAGTGACAATTTAAATTTAAGTAAAATGTAGTCCCTTATGAATATAGGGCACCCTGCCGATGTGTCTCAATGCAACTCTCTTCTTGGAATGTACGCGAGTGTGCGGACTCTTTCTCCCTCCTCACTTCTTTTTATTTGCTGTCTCCTTCAATCATCATTCTGGTCATCATGTTTATGTATCAGTCAAAGACAAACATTGTCACACTAATTTCAACAGCGCAGCAGGCCTGCGTGGTATGGGCTGTAGCCTTTCTGCTCTGTTGTGGCTTCTTTGAGCCTCAAATAAATGTTAGTAATATCGACATATCAGGTTAATACTGCCGAAAAATCACAGCTATGTTTGAGGATGAGTTATGTTGAACCACAGGCAGGCCAAAATCAGCAGGCAGGCAAAAATGTCGTGTTGCAGAGCTAAGTTTTTGTTGTCGTCTTTATGAGAGTAATCAACTTGTGCAACTAGATTTTAACATGTAAAAAACTGTGGTCTCGAAGAAAGCGCGAAAAATCATAACACAGCCTCAATTTCTACTGCCATTTTGCATTCGCTTACCTATAAGCAGATACGTATTGATGTTAGTAATCAGGAGGATATAAACATTTACAAGCATCATCCGTCTGACGTAGCTGAAGGTGCCAAAGTTGATCGTTTTGTTGGAAAGTGCAAAAAATGTGGTTCTTTATGCATCGTCTTGCCCTAAGTGCAGACGCAGCCGACCCTTCTGAGCTCATGGGACAAAAAAGTTTGAAAAACAGAAGTCACTGGGTCTTCTCCGTACAGGACTGGTTGAGCGACTATAGGACACGCGCAGAAACATGAGGAACTCCGTAGTTGATACGCTTCGACGCTGCATGATCAGTTCCTGCTGCTCCTAGCGTCGGTTGTGCGGAATTAGATAAAGTTGCGGGACACAAGGATACAAAATAAAATTAAAAAGTCTCGGTTGTTCGAGCTATTTATTTTCTGTCTCTATTTAATGCCTTACGCAGAAACCGGTAACTGTAACACCCTGATATCTTCGAAGGGCTGGAAACGTCTACCGCTTTGAGAGCAATTTTATGAACCGACTTTCGGTAAACTGTTTCGATGAAACAGCGCTTGTTGAAATAGAGTGAAATGAAATGTCCGGACCTAATATGACGCACCCCACACGAATCACTCACGCCACAGTCTGTGCAATACTGGTCTCCTTGCAAGAACAAAAATGAAAACAGAAAGAGCGACGCGGCGGCTTTTCAAAAAGATGCGACGGCTGGTGCTAGCAACACGCATATTTCAATTGAGCAACACATGAGTTTTTTGTATAGAAAGCAAGTCTGTATGTGTCAGGCTGATTAATTGATAAAAATATGGGGGCTCTATTTACGCTAAGGTAATATGATCCAGCAGTAAACTAAATTAATGTGGCTGTTATAAAACGCAAAGAGCGGCTGGTTTATAAATGGGTTACAGTAATAGTGCAGAAAATGCAATTTATTCCAAGGCTAATATCCACCACCGAACATCCGATGTCTAACTTGGCTACAGTAACAACGTGGCTCAGGTACAGTAGTAAATCAGCCTTCTCCTTTGTGCGCATGGCCTGTGCGCTATTGTATGCTTGAAGCCTCGCAGGTGCATGATATTAAGGTAAATATGGTAAGCAGTCAGTAATCGGAACATGCAGTGTTTAGACTTCAATAACACCGCAGAGAAGTTTCGTCGTACCTCCGGAAGAAAAAAAAAAAAACATCTTCGTGAGTTGCATGCGGCCCTTGTTTTCTGTGTTCTGAACACTTTTTCAAATGTTTTTACATCTGTATTTGTATATTTTCATAGAAGCAGGCTCTACACTACACAAGTTTGCAGAAAAATGTATTCAAGAGATCATCGCTGATGATATCATTTTCCATGGCTGTGTGGTGGTTCACCAAGCGGAGAGGAGTAGATGTCTTTGACATTGGTATACCTTGCTATGCCGGTTATCCTGACAAGGTGACCACGGTAAGCTACTCTGATCAAATGAGAGTGTTCCTACTACGTGCGCCAACACTCGGAGTCTGTTCAACGGAGCAGGTTCTGAACGTAAAATAACTGCTACATGGTGCAGTGCTCTGGGCTCCATGTATATAAATTTATTTGTGTATTTATTTTTTTAATACCGCTACCTTAAATAAGGTCATTGCAGGAGTGGAAAAGAATACATACATTGCATGCATTAAAACACAAAAGAGGATTGAAGTACGCACCCTATAGAAAAACACTGCAAATGGTTAAAAATTGGTTTAAAAAACACGGGGATATCGTATATACAGCGGCGGAAACGATGTAACATCTCACAGCAACTGAGACATTGTAAGACAATGCTTTCCCCTTTCCTTGTAGATTTCGCACCTTAAACAAGTGAAAGCCGTTTACAACATCCTGTAACGCCGAATTGGAGCGCAGCTCTTGAGGAGGAGGAGTGGAGGGTATATTCCTCCTCCCTCGTGATCATGCCTGCTAGTCCTCCTCCCCTCCTGCTCCCCCTCCCTCTCCTTTACCTCCTCCTCGTCCTTCAAGCTCCTCCCCTCCCCTCGCCTCCGCCTCCTCGTCTCTCCCCCCTCCTCCACCTTCGTACTGCTTTCCTCCTTGCCGCTCAAGCCGGAAAGGGTCGCGTAAGAGCTGTGCTCTTACGCGACCCTTTCCCCCCCGAACCATACTAGACAATGAGGGGAGGAGCAGGAGGGGGAGGAGGAGGAGGGCAGAGGTCCGGGGGTCACGTGACCTCGAGGGGACGGGATCACATGACCTTGGGCGGGCCGTCATGTGACTTCGACGGGGGGAGGGGAGTCAACCCCCGGGGTCACGTGACCTTGGCGGGGGAGGAGGGGGAGGAGGAGGAGAGGAGGGGGAGGAGGAGGGGGAGGGGCGACGCCGACGCCAACGCCAACGCCGACGCCGCACAGGCTGGAAACGGGTCATGTGACCCCCTCCCCCCGAGGTCACGTGACCCGCCCGGACCATACTACACGAGGGGAGGAGGAGGAGAAGGAGGGGGAGGAGGAGGAGGGGAGGAGGAGAGGGAGGAGAGAGAGGGGCGCGGTTACGCCGACGCCGACACCGACGGCGACGCCAACGGCGACGCCGACGCCGCTCAGGCTGGAAACGGGCCCCTAAGAGCTGCGCTCTAAAATGAAACTTGTTCACAACAGCCTCTAACGCCGAATTCCAGCGCAGCTCTCTAGGAGGAGGTAAGGGTATTGAGGGAAGGGTATACCCCTTTTCCCTCCTCACCACCTCATCCTCCCTGCTACTCCTCCTCCCCTCCTCTCCTCTTCCTCCATTCCCTACTCCTCCTCCCCCTCCCTCCTCTCCCCTCCTCTTCCCTTCTCCTCTTCCCCTCCTCCTCCCTCTCCTACTTTATTCTCCTCCCCTCCCCCTCCCTCTCCCCCTCCATCTGCCCCTTATCCTTCTCCCTGTCCTCCTCCCTCCACCGCCTCCTCCCGCTTTGCATCATGGGAATTGCCCCATAATGCGCCGCGGGATTACGCCGACGCCATTGCCGACAACGACGGCGACGGCGACACCGACGCCGTTCAAGCCGGAAGCGGGCGCCTAAGAGCGGCGCTCTAAGATACAACATATACCAACAGGAGCCTTGTGAACTTCTTATATAAATTTCTCAGTCATGTGAAAGGATATCTCCATCGGTGTTGTTCCAAGCATCTGTGGTCCTCGGAGAAATATAGTATTTGAAATTATTGAGTTGGCTTGTATATGGTACCACATCTAGAGGATGGAAGCTACGAGTGCGCCATAGAGTGAGGAAGCAATTTATATTTTACAAAATAACTACAAATTTCTTGCTTGCTCCTTTGTGCAGCAGCTTTAGTCGTTCCACAACACGTCTTAAATCTAAGGCTTCAAGTCCATTGACTGGCACTGACAATGTGGGCGAAAATGTACAATCATATCGATGGAAATTAATTCTGTTTTCCTTTGCTTGTATTGCGTCAAGCAGCTCAATATCTCTCTTGAAATAGGGGTCCTAGGCCACACAGCCATATTCTAACATCGGTTTAATTTGGGCTCTGTTCACGGTATATTTAACACCCCTAGTTAAAAGTTTTAAAGTTCTAATGATATAACCCAGTCATTGCTGTAAGAATCGGCCCCGCCATCGCCGTGAATGGACGCGGGAACGGGACTGAGTTTCGTTTTCTTTTCTGTGCGTGTTTGCATTTGCACGTGTGCCCCTGTGTGTGTGTGGACTGGCGGCGCTCGGTGCCGGCTGGTGCAGGGGACATTTTAGAAAGGAAGAAGACGAGAAGACAGCGCGTGGTGTGACCTTTTGCAAGGATTCGGAAATTAGCTTCGCTTGTAAATAGACGTGTTTTTTTTTTTTCTTCCCCGTATTCGCGGAGTTTTGTCTTGTTTCCTCTTCCGTCAGCGACCATCAGCTGCCTCCGTCGTCGGGTCGCGGCGCAATCTCGAAGAAAGAACATCTTTACTGTCGCAAAGCTCGAGAGCAGATGAAAGAATGTGTCTCTTTCATTTAAAACATGGAGTAAATAAAATTCCCAAATTACTTATATTCACACACTTCGCGCAAAATTATAGTGCAGTTACTATAACTCAAAACAACGTGGTCTTCTTGAAAGTGAAGGTCATAAACACAAATGTTTTCAAAGTTAGTTTAATCTGCCATTTCCGCCTCAAATTAAGAAATACTAAAAATAGTCATTTAGCATGGCATGATCACCTTAGGACCTGATTTCATTGTATAGAATGCATTCACCAGCATGAAGGCCTGTCTTAACAGGAATATGGTTAGCTACGTCCTTAAAATAAAGCAAAAATTGGTCCTAAAACAGAGCCCTCCCGGACACCAAAAAGTAACCGAGAAGTTGCTAGAATTAACGTCCCAATACGAAACAAATTGAGGTCTTAAGGTAATAAGAGATCCAAGTAGTTAATTATGCGCTTTTATATAATTTACAGTCTTCGAAGACGCTTACGATTTGGAACTGTAACAAAAGTATTTTTATAGTTTATAAAGATGGCATCCAGCTGCCTTTTTTTAACTATGGCAAGAGCTATGTTTTTAGCGACAGAGAATCAAATTAGCTCGAGTTCCTCGCATATGTTTATGAACTATCTGTTCAAGAAGCTTGCAAGAACATGATGTCAATGAAATTGGTCTAGATTTAGTAACAACCTGTTTGCTACCGGATTTATACGGAAATAATTTTAGCTGGCTTTGATAGTCAAGGTACGGTTGCACTAAAAATATGTTCAATAAAAAATACAAATAAGTACATTGGCGTTTAAAGTTAATAACGGCTGAGAAAAAAATTGGAGATCTTATTAGGGCCCAGGCTCTTTTTACAATCGAGCCTCATATGTGTATTGGAAACATTATAAACACTAATGTTAACATCATATTAAACATTATGTAAGAGCAGAAATTTTAAACGTAATAACTATTGCAACTAAATACCGAAATAAAGTATTCGGTAAAAAAGTTACCAGTTACTGCTGGTTAACTAACACAATCAACCCCTATAATAAAACTTTGCGCTACATTTCATTTTAGGAAGGTAGACCTCCAGAATTCGACATGAGCTGAAGTCATATATTGAATCAGAGTCGTGTTAATGTACTTTATTTTAGAAGGTAACATATTTTTTTAAAGATGGCTTTAAACCATCAAACAAAGCGCTGTCTACCGAGGCTGCATTGCATTTCGTAGAACGTTTCCTGCTTGTTTCCGCATAAACTGTAGGAGCTTTCTTGTAATCATAGGTTCCGAAAGATTTTTATTCGTCTTTGTAAAAGGTACAAAATTGTTCCTACATTTATCCACAAGAAGGTTGAAATGACTAAGCTGCGCATTGGCATCTGCGTGCGTACTCATAGCACAAAAGATATGGAAAGAAAAAATAAGTTGATTATGTATAGGTACATCTTCAGCACTGCTAAAATAAGTTACAGTGAAGCTTTCGGGGTATATACGGTTGACAAGAAGTTTGAGCGCCACAAAAATTTCTGTCTAATCGGAAATTGCTTCAATACCTCCGCAATAATAACCAAAGTTTTCTTAAGTTGCGAATAAATAAATATAATGAAGAATAAAATCATCTATGGCGTTAAACTTACCAAACCTTATTTAAGTACAATGACAGTGCCCAATCCACGAGAGCATCGCAAATGGCCCTCGCAAAGTAAGATGAGTTGAAAATTAGCTAGGTTATATTTCTGAATTGAGCGGCATCTCGCACCATGAAGATTCAGTGTAAGCTAAAGTAGAAAAAAGTAGAGAAGTTAAGGCCTCTAAAAATTAACGCAACAGCCCCACCCCTGGAAGATCTATCACACTGTACTACGTTGCAATTAGGGGCGGTATATTCACAATTAGGAATGGCACCGTGTAATGAGGTTTTCTGTTATACATGTTACGTGTGGTGAATATAGAGATGCAGAATGGAAAAACCCATTGGACTTGGGTAAAAGGCTTCTAGCAATAATGTTGACTGCAGAAAAAGGTTTATTCTTTATGTGTCAATTTAGGCGTTGAGATTGTGCCACAGGAAGAACCTTTGAAAGTTTGTGATTTGTTCCATCCAACGAGTATCGAACGCTATCAGCAAGGGTGGGGTCGTAACAAAGACTTACTTTGGCGCCATGTTTTCCAAATTAAGCATTACTGAAAAAAGCTCTTCGCAAATATTACAGACACGTGGTGAGGAATGTTCGTCGAAAAGTATCCGAGTTTCTTAAGTTTGTAGGAATTTTTGAAGATGCGAGTGTTATCTCGAAAATACCTTAAATATTACAGGTCTGGAATTACCTTCTGCAAACGAACCGATGCGACGACGGCGTTATATGCCATCGCAAGTTACAGACAAATTCGAATACAGCAGATAAGATACCTTAGCAAGCAGCAACCCAAGGGACTCATTCGTATGTCCCAGGAGCCCTGATGCAACCAAATTATTTCTGTAACAACGATAATCAATTTC